ACTCTTGGAATCTGCGCTACCACTTCCTCAGACGCCGCGCCTGAAAACCGGCCAACAAAAAGACTCTGTCTCAAGAAAATAGCTGCGGTTTTCGACCCGCTGTGTCTGATCTGCCCGCTCACCATCACCGCCAAGATCATCTTTCAAGAGACTTGGGCTCGCGGTCTGGATTGGGACGATCCACTGCCGCCCGACATGGAAGCTGAATGGCTGACCTGGCTTGAAGATATTCAGGAGGTGAGCTCATTGACTGTCCCAAGGTGCGTTCATTCATTTTCCAGTGAAAACGCACAACAACTGCATGTTTTCTCAGACGCATCGGAGCAGGCGTACGCCGCTGTGATTTACGTCGTCACTGACTGTGAAGAAGGGATCGTGTCAAGAATAGCTCTGGCTCGAGCTAGGGTCACACCAAGGTCAAGAAAGGTCACCATACCTCGACTCGAGCTTATGGCTGCGCTACTTGGCCTGCGGCTCGTGAAGAAGGTCTGCGCTGCGTTTGAGATTCAGCTGACGGACGTGGTGTTCTGGTCGGACTCGCTCAACGTTATCTGCTGGATAAAAAATGACGTCAAGCGCTTCCAACCGTTTGTCGCCCACCGCGTCTCAGAGATCCGGGAGTTCACGAGTCCTGATCAGTGGAGACACATTCCTGGAACGGAAAATCCAGCAGATCTCCCCAGTAGAGGTGTCAAGCTGGAAGACCTGAAGCACATCAGCCTCTGGTGGGAAGGACCTCCATTCCTTCTGGAGTCACCTGAGAACTGGCCAAAACAGAGAGACATCTCTGAACAGGCATGCGACCCCAGTGAGTTCCGCAAAGAAAAAGTAACTACTCACTCAGCGCGGGCGAAGGAGATGGACACAGACTTCCGGCTACAGCCAGCACGCTACTCGAAGTGGATGAAGCTCATCAGAGTGACAGCATGGGTGCTCCGCTTCGTGAAAAGGCTGAAACAAAGAAGAACCAAGGCTGAATCTGAGAACTCGGATAGCTCCTGTGGTTCTCTCTCGAGTGAAGAACTGACTCAAGCCGAGTATTTCTGGTTCCTGAAAGCTCAGGAGTGCTTCGAGGACGAGCGACGTCATCTGCAAGCACAAGAGGAAGACAATGACGTAGTGCACTCAAGGCACGTGTGCAAAGACAGCAAGATCCGTCGCTTGTGTCCAGTGCTGGATAGCAACGGATTAGTGAGAGTTGGCGGCCGTCTACAGCAGAGTGGACTGTCCTTCGACGCCAAACATCCGGTGCTGCTACCGAAGCATCATGAAGTGACGAAGTTGTTCGTGCGATACGTTCATGAAGATGGTGATCACGAGCTGGGAATCGAACACACCGTCTCTGAGCTTCGTCAGAGGGTGTGGATAATCGGCGCCAGAGAGCAAGTGAAAAAATGCATTTGGTCATGCCCAGAATGTGTGAAGAGGCGCCGACTACCCAGAAGCCAGCTCATGGCTCCAAAACGCACCAGTGAAGTAAAGGGGCCCTATCGGGCTTTCTTGAGATGTGCAGTGGATTTTGCTGGGCCGTTTGAAACCAAGCAGGGCCGATGCAAGTCAAGAACCAAGCGCTACTTGTGCCTCTTTCTGTGTCAGCAGACCAGAGCGGTGCATCTCGAGGTCGCCTTTGGCCTTGACACAGACAGCTTTCTCAGAGCTTTCATGCGATTTGTAGCTCGCAGAGGTGTACCTGCTGAAATGACCTCAGACAATGGGAAGAACTTCGTCGGAGTGAGCCGTGAACTACAGAAGCTGGCGAGCAGCCTGGACCAGGGCGACATCACAACGAGGACCGCGCACTTGCGTGTCAAGTGGAACTTTACGCCTCCAGGAGCTCCTCACTTCAACGGAGGCTGTGAAGCAATGGTGAAGAGCGCAAAACGTGCGCTTCGGAAGACGCTGGAATCGGCTCATCTCAGCGATGAAGAGCTACAGACAGCGTTCTGCCGCGCTGAAGCTCTGCTTAACTCGAGACCTTTGACGAGTGTCTCATCTGATCCGATTGACCAGCCGCCCATCTCTCCGGCGTCGCTCATGTTGGGCCAAACCAGGCTCGACTTCATGCCTGATGATGATGGAGATGCAGAAACGACAAGAAGACGCTGGCGCCGCCTGCTGCAACTGAGCTCGGAGTTCTGGCGACGCTGGATTCGTGAGTACCTCCCAACTCTGCAAGGCAGGCAAAAATGGACTGAGCAATCTGAAAACCTGCGTGAAGGTGAACTGGTGCTGTTGGTGGATCCGAATGCACCCAGAGGACTGTGGCCGCTAGCCAGGGTCACGAAGACGTTCCCAGGACCAGATGGGCTCGTCCGTGTTGTAGAAGTTAAGACGGCAAAAGGTGTATATAAGAGGCCAGTCACGAAGACTGTTCGACTGGAGCTGGATGTCTGAAGAGGACGACTGTAGACGCCATCGGTGGGTGACTGTCATGATCCAGGGATGCAGCTGATGTGGTCTGAAGTGATTCTGAATGACCGGAGGTTCATTCAGAGTGGGGGGTGATGTTCCGGAGGATCCCGGATAATACTCTGGTGTTACTCTCGAAAGTAAAACAGCAGAAATAGCATGTGCCTCCATGCGCGAGGAACTAAAGAAATTTGTGCTGAAATAGAGTGTTTTTGATGTAAAAAAAAGAGGTGAAATAAAAAACGAGAGAAATGTGAAAAACAGTTTGTGAATATAAAGTTAAGTTTAATTAAGCTATTAAGAAACAAGAACACAACGCGAGAACACTATCATAAACAAAAACCACTACCTGTATCTTAAAATGCTACTATTGGTATTAAATCGCATGTACTCAGCCGATATAAAGACTCCATTCATGATAACCCGTGCGTACAGTGCACTCGCTTCTAAGGTGATACCCATTGCCGCCGGAGAACCATGTGCCAAAATAGCAGTGTTACTCGGCCGCTGCCAGCGAAGAAACCCGCTTTCACACGAAACCAGCGCCTTCACGGTAGGCTGGCGTCCACAAGTGGCTGGGACAGCCCGTAGTAGGTATGACTTGCAGCCCGCGATGAACAGGCCATCGACATGGTTCACCTCGCGCAGTTGTTGGATCTTGTCCATGAGTGATTTTCCCCTTCGCTGCAGCGAAGCGTGCCCAATGCGCAAGTGCAATGACCAGTGGAAGGTAAACAGGATGTGCCAGGTATCGGAGGTGTTGCATAGCTTCAGTTGCAGATTGCATCTAGTTGAATAGTATTATGCAAATGGGTATGCCCGTGAGGGGATAAGTGATCGATGAGAGGAGGAAAGTCGCACTCAACAACTCGGCTTTCACGTGCAGAGGTGAAATGCAGCTGTGTAATATAGAGCTGCATTCCTTTCAACCACGGCCCATCCGTGGACTGTTTTGGAAAACCGATAGGGCTCTGTTCTGGATCAAGCCGTGACTGTGAGGAATAAGGCTCTGCAGGCCCGACTCGCCATTCATATTCAGATGACAACCGCGCCTGCTGGCGCCAGCTCTCCGTGATCAAAGCACCCCCTCTTTGGACCAGTACTGGTAGTCTGGTGATCTAGATCTCCGGCGGGTCTCGGGGCACCCTGACCTTTCCAACCTGACCCATAGCGGCACCCCTCGGGTCAAGGTAGACAGCAGGCGACAGACGGACGGACGCCCCATACGGGCCCGACCACGGCCCGGGTGGACTAGGGGATGGGGTACCGTAGACCGGAGTAGGGAGGGCCGGGGGCGACTCAAGCTAATTGGTGTGAAGTTGATGAGACGGGGCAGGACGTCGGGCTGACATAATGACATAACTAATAGTGAGTCAGAGCTATCATTACGATGACGTCATAATGATCTGTTTGACTCTCTACATTATCAAAACGGAGATTGGAGAAGAGCCGTCATTTGTCTTAAGACGAGCGAGCAAGTGGATAAAAATGCCCATTCTTGCAAGGAATGTTTGATGAAAATTAACGTCTGATAGCTGGATAAATCATTAAAATGACCAACACTGGCTCCTTAGCTGGAAACCTACAAAAAAAGCTATGAACCTAATTAAATCAAAGCTGCACCAAATGCCAACCAAGTGTTTAACAGATGGCCAAATGTTTAACAGGCCAAACGTTTAATAGATAATGGAAACGGCTATCGTTCATTAGCTGGAAGTAAACATTTCCAGCCTGCGTCACTTCACAGCCTGCAGCGGCGCCAGCAGCTGTCCAGCTGCAATGACCGCTGGTGACACGCCCCAGTGGCCACTATACCGGGGGGCCGGGTCAGGGGTCGTGTCCGTCCGTGCCGCGCCACTGGAGACGGTTACGGCGCACCGGCTACAGTCGTGGCGCGGCGCGGCATGTTCGCCACGATCTGAACTGTCCTTCATGGGCCACGCCTCAGTCCAGTCACGGTGGCAGCGAGGGACAGCGCCGCTGTTGCTACAGAGGGGTATAAAAGGTCGATTAATTTCGTACTGAAAAGGCCTTCATAGAGAGAAAAATCAAAACTCTTTCACGATGACAGCGTTCGTTCGAGTGTTTGGACATTAGCTGACTGGACAACATTCACTCAGAGCATGGCATCTAGAGAGGCATTTAGTTTGTCAACTCAGCATGCTTGATACTCGTAATATAGGTAAGCCGGCTTCAAATACGAAATACCCGAGGTTCTCGCATGTATGTAGGTGACGGTTTAGATATAACACGATAGATGAGTGGAAGGAAAGGCACGGGAGAGGCCCGTCCCTGGACTTGCGGTGGACGCTAACCGCCGCGCCGGTGGGCTGGCGCAATTGGAAAGGTCGATTAAAAAAGTATGGCGCCGGTAGTCGAACCACAGACCTGGTATTGCCGCCACCGCTAGTCCGTAGGTATGTTATCTGATTGAGTCAGGTGCAGCTGCTGGCCCGCTGAGAGACTGATAATGAGCACTGGCACGACCTGCACTTCAAAGCACAAATAGGTCTCATTGGCACCCCTGCAGAGAAAGACATCGCGCCCACACATCAAACCAACACCTGACTAAAACATTTTTCCCTTCTCAGCTGGTCATTCTGGCGGTGCTGGTGCTGGGGGCTGTCGGACGGCCCCAGTACCAGAGCGGGTACGGCACCGGGCCCCTCTCCGAGGCCAAACTGTGGCGTCGCGTGGTCGACACGGACAAGGAAGATTACCGAGCCGCGCGCGCCGCCGCCGCCATCGCGCTGCGCCTCTTCAGGAACGCCGGAACGCAGACCAACATCATCAAGGTGGGAAGGAGGGGAGGTGAAGAGTGTTGTGTGAGGGGGTGTGGGGGGGGGGCGGAAGAGAGGGAGCAAGGTGAGAAAGAAATGTGAGTAGGCACTGGGGAGTGATCAGTGATGAGATGAGGCCACTGAAGACATGAGTGTCTGTCGTCTGACGTCTGTTTTGAAAACATAGTATGACTAATGACTATCCTGTGAGGACACACATCTGGTGGGTGCCGATGTTCTGAATCTGGTAATTGATCTAAAGTAAATATTACGTGTTATAAATAAACCAACACACATGGGGCATTCCACGATAGATCGTACCAGGCCCGTCACCCTCATCTCTCAGATTTTAATGAAAATCGGTCCTAGGGGTAATCATAGGCCCCAAAGACGCCTGGCAAAATATCAGACTTCTCAGATCAAAACTTTTTGAGTTATATTGCAATACATTTTTTTTAACTTCGGTTTGTAACGGTGAGTTTGATGGCCTATAACTCAAGAACGGGTCATGCAACCAACAAACGGGAAACAACACTAAGCTTGCGATGAACCAAAAATTGATATTACTTTTTAAAAATTCTAAAGAAAAATTTTGATTGTTGAACAAAAACCTTAATCTTTTTTCATTTGCCTCTAATGACTTTTGGGACCAAAATTTTTCACATTTTTTATTTTTTCAAAATAAACTTCATGTCATTGCAAATCGACATGCAAAAAAAATAGAAAGGTGTTCTTTCTATAAGTTCCTCATTTTCCCGCAAACAAAATGGGTTTCGGAGGGGTTGATACGACCCCAGCACGCCGTTTTGCTTCTAATAGAGGTAGAGCCTCGCGGAAAAAAACGAACGTGTGTGCCGTTACAAGTCGCAGCGATTGGTACCCAATTTTAAGGTCTCAGGTTAACCGGTAGCGTCTGAGGTCAGGTCAAGTGACTGAAGTTACGGGTTCGGTTTTTAGTAAATAACTTCGCAAAAAATGGCCGCAGAGCCGCGATTTTGGCATCATTGTGTTCGCCTAGCTCAGGTGCGTCGAATGGTATACTTTTTGTTAGGGTGAGGTCAACTTAAGTAGTTGACCTCGGGTCAAGGTCAGGTCAGAGCCCCTCAGGTCACGAAGCTGGGCAGAGGGTATCATATGGCATATCATTCGATTCGGAAGGTCTTCCCGAGTCCATTGGTGGCTTTCCCGACTCTCTAGCTCAATTTGATCGGGAGTTATTGACGAAAAACTCGTACGACCCTAGTGACGTCATAAATGACGTCACGCAAGGTTAACAATGCAAAAGTGAAGCATTGGACTTTGCAAGGAGTGCATGAAATCACGATGCCATGTACGTGAGATAGTTTTAGATCATTATCGGCGCCAAAATAACAGATTTTATATTTCCCCATTGACTTATAACAGTGATGTCACGTGACTCATGTGATCTTCAAAAATTCCCAGATATATAAGTTGTGAGACCTCTGAAGGACACCATGTATGCGTCCTGTAACTTTTATCTCGGACAGCTATGGTCATTGGCGTCCAAAACAATGTCAGAACCAAACAGCCTTTTTCACTCTCGCGCTCATAGGAAAGAGGGTTGGATGAACCCTCTTTTCATTTTTTCAGATGACTAAGATTTCAATTGAAATTTCAGCAACCCGTGATGTCACTAGGCAGCTTTACCACGCCATTTGTAAGCTCCCCTCCCAAAATCACTATTCGAAACCGTTATCGTGACGTAAAATAAATACATTTATAGAAAGAACACCTTCCTATTTTTTTGCACACTTCTCAACAATGAGCTAAATATTTTTTAAAGAAATAAAAATTCAAAAAAATTTGGTCCTTAAGTCCAAAAAATACAAATGAAAGAAAACTCGATATTTCATATCTCAAAAATAGCGTATTTTTCGAAATTTCAAAAATACATATTAATCTCTGTTTCATTGCAAGTTCAATGTTATCTAACATTTGGCATTTGAATAATCCGTCTTAGAGTTACAGCCCGCCAAACTTAGCGCTGCAAGGCAAGATCCAAAAAATGTTATACGCCATAACTCAAAAAATACTTATCTGATAAGTCTGAAATTGTTACAGGTAGATTCAGAGCCCCTGATTACCCCTGAGACCAATTTTCGTCAAATTCCGAGAGATGAGGGTGTCAAATTGGAAAAAAAGTGGTACGATCTATCGTGGAATGCCCCACATACATCACACACGAATGCATAAAGTAAGAAAACATCCAACGATTTCTTTTAGGATAAAAAAGTTTCAACACAAAGCAAAGAACAAATAAAAAAACGAACAAAATGACTCACCACTTTCAGGACTGACCTTCAAGTCACAATTTACCTGTAATTGTGTAACATACATTATTAATCTCGTACTTCCACCTCTTGCGGTATTGACAATGGACCGCAGCCCACAACCACTGCCGTTGTCTTACGGGCAATCGGCTCATCGGACCTTGAGCGCCATAAAAAGTCGTCTGTAGTAGCTACCGCTCCGGACCGTTGTTCGTGACGCCAGTGGGATAACTGTCTCATGCTATAGAAGTCGAAGCACCATCACAACTAAGACAATCAGGGTGCTGGTGAATCACAGGAGATCAGTGATGTGAGGTGAGGTTCGCTCACCAGACGTTATTCCCTGTTGCAGGACGTTGAGCCGATCTACAAGTACAAGAGGCCCAAGTTTGCCACCAGCTACAGGCCGCCGGCCGGACACTGATGACTGAGAAGCGGTAGGGCGACAATTTAGCAACTACTCAAGCTTATGTCGATGTAATGGGCCAAGACATCTTTCAAAATGTGTTTTAAGCGTATTTACATTTTACACCTAGCTATGTACTTGCTTTGCATGTATGATAGCCGGAATACAGCTTTTTTCTTCATCATATATCCTTGCCAAGAACTTGGACCTGCGCCGAGTTAAGGATATGTTAACATTTTCCAGTTCAGTTATGCTTGAAACGCGACATCAAGAGAAATTGCTCATCATCGGCACTCATAGAGGCTTTCCTTCGCTGTCGCCTGACACCTTACTTTCTATTGCAGCGAATTTTCTATAAACGAAAGGGGAGGGAGGGGGAGGCAGCTGACAAGATACCACTACACACCACGACGCAATCATGGAGGGAGCATCAAGGAGTTCCACTGGACAGTGGACAGACCAGAGTCAGACCAGGAGCTCTGCTGGACCGCGGAGGCAGCTCCATGCCGTGACCCGCCAGCGCCCGGCCGAGGAGGCGTCACGTCGCATCATGTTTCATGGTCACCTTTGTGTCACAAGGGAGTCGACCTTGGCAGTGCTACCCTTCCCACTAATACGGTTGTGTATCGAGTGATGAAACGATTCCAAATACTAGCTGTGCCAAGAGGTGATGGACTTAAAATTAGTCCGAAGTGTTAAGCATACCTTTATGTTGTTTCAACTGGAGATGTGAAAGCACCAAAGAAAGCAAAATGAAAAGGAAGCAAAGCTGTATAGAAACAAAGTGATACCTACTCATTATTGAAGTGAGTAGATAGGTATGTCTTTTAAACACCGCGATACTACCTTGCGTTTGTTTCTTTCTTTTGCCTGTGTTTAAGACTAAAGCTCTTTGATAGTCATTTCTTTCTCTTTTTGTTAAGGACTTATTCTAGAAATTGACGCGAGTAAAAATGACCCAGTAAACATGCCGACGTCGGCCCGATGTCGGCCGACGTCGGGGTGACGTCGGCAACTCGGCATCGGCATGCCGACGTCGGCCCGACGTCGGTCCAACCTCGGCACGACGTCGGCTGGATGTCGGATATGCCCGCATGTACCGACGTCCAGCCGAAGTCCAGCCGACGTCGGGCCGACGTCGGACCGAGATCAATTGCTGAGGTCCAGCCGACGTCGGGCCGACGTTGGGGCGACGTCGGACCGACATCGGCCGCTGTTTTGACCGTTAAAATAACATAAAATACATGTTTCATGTTTCATTAAGAGCTTCTGTATTCAAAATATCCTCAGGAAACTCAAATCCTCCTCCACGACGCAACCCCCTGATCCGGACTGGACGGGAAACTTTATCCCATTTGGGATTGCCCGTAAGCCGAGCTCGCCCGTAGCCGGGTGCGGTGAGTGCTTGGGGGCTGCTCGGCCTATCCTTTGCTCAGGCTCAGCCCCGGCAACTCACCAGGGCCGGGCCCAGTTCATATAGAAAGGCCAGTCGGCAAGTGTCACTTTGCCAAAGTGCCACTTATCAAAGGGACACTTTGGGAAACGTTGGTGCAGGTGTGTAAGAGTGGCTATATGAATCCATTGTGGGGTCGCCCTTTCCAATAAGTGTCACGTAACAGCAATGGGACCAGGGACTCTATATGAACTGGACCCAAGGTGCTCGCCAAGAAGACCAATGTCTCCATCCTATCATCCTTCCGGCTCTGAAATGGTGTTGTCAGACCGAAAGGGCATAACCCAACAAAACAAACTGCGTTCGCTATCTGGCTGCGTGGTGTAGTGGTTAGCGCACTAACCTCGCGTTCCAATGACACGAGGTTCGAATCCCTTCGCCAGATGACACTTTTGGCGTGTTGTCCCAGTAAACATGCCGACGTCGGCGACTGGGGGGCTCGAATCCCGCCGCCGGTTGATATTTTTGGCGCTTTGTCCCAATAAACATGTCGACGTCGGCCCCGTCGGTCCAACGACAAACGATCTCGTCAACCTCGGCAAACGACCTCGGCCCGACGTCGGCTCGACGTCGGCTGGACTTCGGCTGGACGTCGGAACATGCGGGCATATCCGACGTCCAGCCGATGTCGGGCCGAGGTTGAACCGACGCTGGGCCGACGTCGGACCGAGCCTCGGCCCGACGTCGGGCCGACGTCGGCATGTTTACTGGGGATTGAAAATGAAATTGATGGAAGGCAGCGAAAGCTATGACTATACCTATTCATATAACGGCCACATTTAAATGTCAGTCTCCGAATCATATGAATTGTAAATAAATGAGGGTGAAATTGATTTATCTGTGTTTTAAATATATGAAATTCTACTGCAGATAACACTTATTGGAGATGCTGCCCACACGTAACAACATTGAAAGAGAAATGAGACGATTTTAGCGCGGTAGGCATACCTTGCGAAGTAAGGTGCAACCTCTATATGCACCAGAGGTCAGAGGTGTACACTTACAGAGGTCATGATGTAACCCATGCATACAAAACTAGATTATTGCTATTAAGACATGACGAAGATACGATTCCAAATTTGTGTTCTTTGTGGGCATATCATTCATAAAAGTTCCACTTTTCCAGGCTCCAGCCGAGTGCAGACATATGAATGAGCCGGCGTTAACAAAATAGACTGAAACATGAGACGTCAAGTCACGTCATCTAACTCGTTCTGCAGCTGTGTTTCATTAGGTGGGTCGCTGTTCTTTGCTGCGAAGTTTAGAAACGACTATTGTTCAAGTGCAGCTGAGTTTCACAATATATATACAGGTAAAGCTCGTACGATACTGATCAACAGCTTGACGAAATCAACAACATCAACATGACGAAATCAACAACAACATCAACAACAAATCAAGGAAGCGTCCCTAGAAAAGCTATGGTAAACAAGAAAACACCAGGGCATAGAGCTGACGAAAGCTGTACAAAATCACGCCACGAGTGTGAAAGTCCTCTCACGTTGAGGTGACACCAGTTGTGATTTCACTCTGACCACCAACTGACGCTATAGGGAAGGCGAAAAAGATGGTAGTGACGGTAACAGCACGATGTTGCCCCAGAACACACGTCACGGACAACATCATCAGCTGCATGCAACTAAGCGCCGCAGTTTTCAGCACCTGAAGCGTGCCACCAGTGATCTCACGTCAGCTCTGCAGTCGTAGTGACGTCATCGGTGGCCTACACGTCATGACCCTCGGGGGCCCAAGACCTTGGCAAGGCACCAGTCGCAGTCAACAGACGCCGTCCGTGACCAACATCGATCTCTCTCAAATTCTCACGCTAGGGCGATAAACTAGGACAAACGTGCATGTTTTACAAAAAACGTCATAACTTCTACAAAAATGAATATATTGACTCCAAATTTGGCACACTTCTTCCTTGCTATGTCCACATCTTGTCTCACTCGATGAATGAATCCCCCTAAGCCTCCACGACACGTTCGATTCGGTTGCGGAACCCCTTGCACGCGCTGGCCACCATGGCCTTGTCCAGGAAAGCCATCACCTCGGTCATCTTGATCTTCAGGGTGGGTTTAGCCCGGCAGGCGGTGGGCCTCCCCGCCACCTTCCGCGCGGTGGGGGGAGGGGGCATTTTTTTGCCGCCCCCCACCGTATCTCCAAAACCACTGAACGGAACGGTAAAATTCAAACGGCGTTCGATAGCCCTGTCAAATTTGTCGAAGGAAACCAAATTTCATTGACCTCAGGGTCACCGATGACGTCACAGGTCAGGTCAAAGATAAAATGTTTCACCTTTCACGGGTCTTCTAGGGAATGCACTATAACACCGAGTAAAACGCATTTTGTCGAAAATCAGCGATAGGGCGTCAGTTGCCTAGTAGGTACATATGATGCTATTAGAGGTCACTGATAATACCAGGTCAGGTCACAGGTTGGGTCACCAAACGTCAGCTCATGAACCCAACTTTACTATAAGGTTGTGCGATGCATGTTTTATGGCCAATTTTTCATTTCCAACTCGATGGTGTTGGTTATAAGACCATCAGGTACGGTTTAGGTCACTTTCTGGTGGATGTCAGGTCAAGGTCAGGTAAAAAAGGTCAAATTTTAAAGTTGATAGTTTTGCATAAAATGGGTATTGATTCGATGCAGCTCGTCACGGGGAGTCTAATGGTGGTCTTTGTTTTGCGCTACGACGCCTAGAATTGCTAAAAATTGAGTTTGAAAATTTGACGTCATCAATTTTGAACAGTTTTTCGCTATAACTTGGCAAAAAAAAAAAGAGGTATCGATCTCAAATGTGTTATGTGGATAGGAGGCGATAGGGACTATCACATATAGGTATTCGGTTTTTTATTCAAAAAACTTTTTGGATGTTTTGGTTGTTATATTCAAAAAAATATATTTTTTGATTTTTTGGGTCAAAATCCAAAGATTTCAAAAACCCCAGATAGCAGTTTTGTAGCCCTCTTAATTCTATACCTTTTATGTCTGAAACATTTTTCTATATCTCTAAAGCTGTAGACATGACAGCTCTTCCCGCGAAGCATTTTTTTTTTGTCGAAAATGGCAGAAATGACGTCACTCAGACGGCATTAGCGGCCAACCTATCATAGCCTTTGGAAAAATCTTTGGTCACAATGTGCAAGCAATAGCCATTCACGGGAGAGTACTGAAAGTTTGGTGACGATCGGCACAGCGGTTCTGGAGATATATCGAAAAAACTAAGGGGGGGGGGGCAAAAAATGCCCCCCCCCATCGCCTGGAAGGTAAGTGATGTGAAAGTGATCATTTACTTCCTGCTCACAAACGCTACATCGAAAGCAATTGCACGGATCACAGTCAGGGGAGCTAAGGGACCAGATGTTCTTTGGCAGGTGGTCCATCACGTTTTCCTCCCGCCATGCCAGCGTTTTGTTGGCGGTGTGGGCTGGAGCTCCGTCTTGCTGGAAGGCGTAGTGGCGGCTTCCAATAACGCCCTTCATAATGGCTTCACCACTGTGTCCATCAAATGTGTGTACGCATCAGATTGGCCCTCAGGCCCTCCTTAAAGAAGCAAAACGGCATAACCTCACGCTCATTGGAGACGACTCTCAGCACCATTACAGTGGCTGGAGTCCTGAGGGAATCCCATCTTCTCTTATGGGCCTTCCTTTGCACAGAAAATTCATCGTGGTTCTCTCCACCCACTACTCTTCCATCAAACTCCTTAATAATCCGATAACACAGGTTCCTGGGCTCTTGTTGAGCTCTGCTATTTTGCCAGCGGTCCTCCCAGCGCAGAGCCCAACGACAAGGGCGACCTTTTTGTCTTCTCCTGTCCTTCAAAACGCACAGGTCAATGCAAAATTCAGGTTAAAGACCGTGAACGAACAGCTAATGAAGCTCACACCTACTCAAGCACCATTTTATTGGTCAAATAGCGTCCTCGAAGTTGTCCTAATTTATCGTCCGCACCCTGTATGACAGTCATGCAGTCATATTGACTGCACGACCTATAAATTACCTCAAGAAGCAAACTCAGTTTTTGATGCAGTAGATACAGTTAATGAACAATATGCTTCATAGTACAGCTGATGTGGATTGTGGGGGAAACATGTCGAATAAGTAGCTAAAGAAACATTACTTGCCGTTGTACCTAAGGTACCCTCGAAACTTGTCTTCTCATCGGATTTAGGCCACTTGTTTTTCGTCACAGCCCTGATGCCTGATGCGCTAGCATTTCTTTAACTAAAAAGAAAAAAAATAGAGAAATGGTAGCCATTAGCCAAGCCAACCCCAGCTTTTGTATTTGTTTGTAACATCTCATAT